CAGACAGTGTAAGGGGAACTGGTCATGCTAGGCTTTCTCTTTTGTATTTATGTTTCCAGCTTAAGTTCTGCTTCTTAAGAGGTGGTCTTCAAATGTGAGATTAGACATGGGCTGCAGAAGACAGGTGGAGGTATTTTTGCTTGATTTTTGGTCTTAGCAAAGAATTTCTAAGAGGGAGAAACCAGCTGGAGTCACTATGGAGTCTACATTCAAGTTAAACAGGGTTTATATCTAGAATATAAAGGCCCCTTGGAAACAAAGGGTGGGATGGAGGGAGGACACCCATCAGCATTTCTGACTTTTGCTAATGCTGGCTTGGAAGCATGGTGGGCAGTCACTGTTCATGGTATGGGTGATGTGACCAGCCTCCAGCAGACAAACAAGGAAAGAGTTTGTGCTGCAGAATGACAGCACCAGATGTAGGAGATAACAGCTAAGTGTTAACAGCAATGATAAGAACTGGCTGAAATGTCAGGAGTTCATAGGTTTCCCTCTGAAAGCCTGTTGGATCTTAAGATGATAATTAGGCTTATCTTTCCATATAAAGGGTCCTCTAGCTTGTTCTATCTCACTAGAAAGGTGTGGCAGACCAACAGTGATACAGACTGGGAAGCAGTAGAAGGCTTTATGGTACAGCAAAGAGAATCCTAACGTTCTGTAACAGAAATCAACTGAATGAAATGTCTGACACTTCAATAGCAGGAAGAAAACCTCTCATGAAGGCCTGCCTGAATGTATTCTGCCAAGATTGTGACTTCTGGCCGACACTGTTGATAAAGATGTTCCTCCTGCAGTATTTCTTGTCCCTCCTATCTGGAGGTCTTCAGATACAGGTGTGAACAGACTGATATTTTTGAGGACAGACTTTGCTCTAATCTGTTACATGCAGGTAGCAACTGTCTCAGGACAAGGCCATAGCATTAGTGAAAGGAAATTAAGGGAATATGCTGATCTCCAGGAGATACTGCTAGAGGGATATTGTATTTCTCCCAGGAGCTTTGATCAAAATTTCAAAATTCACTCCTTAGGGAAGTTTAGCAGACTTCCTAGAGAGTTAAGGCCTCCTTGACTTGAGGCCTAACTGCTTAGGGAACAGCCAGTGAAGTCATACTGTAAGAAAAGTATTTTCAACATATATGCTGACAGAAACTACTACGAGTTCATGTACAATTTTGAATATTCAGGAAAATAAGAAACATGTGTTAGGAGTAAACATGCAAAAAGACTAGCCTGAAGGCTACATCTCAGTAACCTAATCAGGGCCATAGTATGGATCCAAGCACTGCCATGCTATTATCCTCAGCACTAAATTGTTAGCTAGCATGTTCCCTGTCACTGCCTTAGCCTGTATCAACTAGCAAGTGCCCAGAAACAGCTTGGGGAATCTACAGATTGGGAAAAATGTCTCCAATTTCAGTACCTGGTGTATCCCAGGATACTGATAACATGTACTCTATTCATAACTGTAATTCACAGCAAACACTTGGAAGTGGTTTCTACTGGATGATAAGAGAGACAAAGGTTAGCATCTGAAGACCATGTAGCAAGGAAAGGCTTAGTACAAGAAGAAAAATGGTTGTTTACCCTTCAGTTTGTTGCCTTCAATGAGAAACACTAAAGGAGCATATAGTAACAAAATGCTGTTGGCATCAATATGGACAATGACAGACTTTGCAAAATGTCAACAAGAGGCAGTACTCTGAGGGGGCTCTGTAGAGGCTGTAAGAGGAGGATACAGCTCAGGAGGGTGTATTGTACAGAACGGGAGAGTAGGAGAAACAGCTGATAGTCTCCCACATTTTAGACAAGCTGTTCTGAACACAGTTCACAAAATTCTTTATGTAGTCCATCTGTGGATTGAACAAAACTCTCCAGAAATTTCAACAGCCAAGTACGCACCAGAAAGTGTCAGCATGACTGTGGCCTGAATGCCCACAAGCTCCAGACCCACCAGCAGCAGGCATGTGTGGGCTGCAACCCCTATGGAGTCAAACACACTGAAATGATTGCTGCAAATCTCAGGCTCCAGGGGAAAAGGAAATATTTTCTTATTAGTGATTATCTCATCCAAATACGCACACGCAGTACTACTGTGAGGATAGCAAAACATTTAAACTCAGTAGTAAGGCAGAAACAGAGAGAGATTTTGTTAAACTTCTGTAAGTCTCCTTCTGGAAAAGTATGTACCAATATTGAAAAATTAAGGGCTATTTGTCATTCTCAGATGGGAAGCAGAAAGAATGAACCAGGCCTTTACAAAATATGAACACACTGTAGACAGAAAATGTGAGGTAGGTGGTTCCCATCTTCTACTTACAAATCAGGAAGTTCTCTCTCAAAGGAAATGTTTGCCACTGAGTTGCTGCATGTGGGTTGACCTTGTGGCTCACAAATTTAATGGAAGAGATGACAAAGGAATAAAGCTTGGTTCCTTGTAAAGTCATAAGTTTGGAGAGAATTATCAAGAAAGGCATCCTAATAAAACAAGTAAACTCAGCGTGCTATCTACAGACTGAAACTAATGTTCTGTTTTTACCCACAAATAGAATGGATTACTTGTCCTTTGGTAAAGTTATTTGCAGCAAGCTGTCAACTTGAGCCTCTCAGTGAGATAAGAAAGATGAAACTCTTCAATACTCATTGAATTTAAAAAAAAAAAAAAAAAAAAAAAAAAAAAAGGATAAAACAAAACAGGGTGTTAGCCTGGATCATACTTTCTGAATCAGCATGAAGCACAAATTTTGTTTAAAAAGCCTTAGGGGAAGCAAGGTTTGAACCTGTTTGAAAGAATGGGGGACTTGACAGTAAATGAAACTAGAGTTGGATTACTTTTTCAGCAATTCTGCAAAGTTAATTCTAGTTAGGTCTAGATAGGTCAACAGGTTTGCAGCAGGCAGATGACACTGCAGGGCCACAAAGAATCATAGTGGATTTAAAAGGAAATGTTTCCTAAGGTATAACAGAAAACAAAAGGAGTTTTGGTGCAACAAGTGGATTAGTTATCTAGTACCATGTCCAGGCATCAAGAAATGCTTGTATGGAAAAATGGAAAATGGATACGACAGCTTTGGAAGAAGAATTCCAATGTCCCCAAACAGTTACCACCAGATGGGCAATGGATACAAGATATGTTAATGTAAAAGATCTTATCAGAATTTGGTGAGTTATTGCCAGATTTCTCTGAAAAAGGAATCCAGATATAAGACAACTTTTAGCTTATCCAGGCTTTTACCAATTCATGTGTGTGTCTTTTGGCATATGTAGACTGTAATCATAAAGTCAGTAATTAAACTGCAGTCAAGACTACTTTTATATAATGTAAGGAACTAGGAGGAAACAGAACTTACATCTTTCTACTATAGAGGAGAAAATATTCATTAGGAGTCTCCTCTAATGAGAAAGTAGAAATTGGTAATTTGAAGAGTGCAGTTATGACAAGAAATTTAACACAATCTTATAGTACTCAAAACACATCATTTGGTGCTTCCACATGAACAGCAAGTTGACAAAATCAATGTTAGGTACAGCTCCAAAAATATTAATTAATAAGACACTCCTTGAAGAAGGAGGGCAAAGAAAATAACTTAAGCTGCATCCAAACTCTTGGGCTAGAAATTAATGCTTTAGTCCAGCAGTTCAAATGATGAAAATGTCCACTACAATTAAACTATGGTTGGGGTTTCTGGTGGGGTACTCAAGTTTCATTCATGATAAGGGTTCTTAAGAATTTCAAGCACACCTGCAGTAAGATTTCAGGAAAGTGAAGGAGATAAAGTAGTTTTTTTTTTTTTTTTAAATATAAAGAAAAGTGAAATGTAGATGATCAAAGACCTAAAATGATCCTTTCACAAGATGCAACTATTTATCCCCACACATAATTTCCATTGATTCTATTGCATGTGTATCACTATAACCTTGTAAACCTCCATATCGGTTTTCAGGGAAATGTCTTTGAACGTAACTGTCGTGGCTGACCTGAAAACTAGACCACACAGAAATGAAGGTGAAGCGGAAAATGTGGTGAAAAAACCAACAGCAACATCAGAAGCCAAGAGCAGCTGACACAGGAAGATTACTCCCAACTGAAGTGGGCAAGATCGCAATGAAATTCATGACAAAATTTTACTCTAGGTCAGTGCCAGTCCCTGGGCAAAATTTTATTAATCCAGCCTAAGAACAACAGTTCTTAGTTCTTAGCAGAACAAAATGTAGATATAACGTTATGCTGAGCCAAAATAGTTTCTCTTCAGACACATTTGCCAATTGTTTGGGTGGAAAATCAGGGGCACGTGTATTTCAAACAAGAGTGTATGTGCTCATTCTACTACCACTGAAATAGCTGTCATAGTTCTAAAACTACAGAAGACACATCACACACGTATGCATAGCTTCAGAACTGGCAAAGATTTATCATCTGGTTTTCCTATGTATAAATAATAATGATGTTTCCAAACATAAAGAGAACAGCAGTATCTGAGAAACAGTTAAGATAAACATGCTGGCTGAAACCTTTTCATTTTTGTCCCTAATTATTTCACAATGTACTAGTAATATAGTCATTTGCTCAAATGAAGTCATTTGTAGAGGTGATTTGAGCCAGCATATTGTCCACTGAAAAGTCCGTAAAGATATTTAGCATTCAGAGGCAGCTAGGACATACTGAAAGCTTGTTGGAGGGTTCTTTTTTTAAAAAAAAAAAGTCTGGGTTATTTTTTAAATAAACCTTGCTCTCCGAAGGCATTTTTATATATCAGAAATAGTTCCTCAACACAGGGGTATACTTCAGAAAACAAGCAGAAATCAAACTGGAACCCAGCCAAAAATATATAAAACAACAGAAGAACATATATTCCCCTGAATATATATATATGTTCATGGGAAACCAAGTGATTCTAGCACATCACTCAATGTGAGATCTGGAGAGGATGTCACATTCGTCACAGCTGAGAGGAACACTAAAAGAGTACATTACAAAAATTTCCAAGTGAAGAAGCACATACCTGCGCTTGTAGATCCAATTCCTGCAGTAAGCACAGACCGTGGTGTAATCTTTACTGCATACTTGAGAAACTGAGATTTCCCTGTTCCTGGGTCTCCAACTAACAGAAGATGTGATTCACCTTGGGGGAAAATATTGACATAGAAGAAGATAGTACATATACAGAGAAAAATATATGCAAAATGCTCTGAATTAAATACTACTTCTAATTCTTCATCTCACATTTAGCACTACATAAGCATTACAACATATTTACAGGGTGTGATCAATTTATCATTTAATAAATGCAAGGTCATACCCAAACCAAATACTTACAATGAATTATTTAAAAAATAAAAGCAGGTATTTGACAAAATTTCCATAAAGCAAGTTCTTACATTTTAGAATACTCCTTAGACTGAGCTGATGAGGATACCATGGCTTAGTTATGTTTTCACTATTCAGCTACTTAAATTACTGCAAAATGACCTAATGAAATCATCAGGTTGTTTTTCTTAAATAATATTGTTATATCACCAACAATTATACAATTCAGTGATTCCAAAACAGTGTAATTACATAAGTAAATTATTTGGATACTACAATCTTAGTAAAGTGAGATTGTCATCCCCAAAACATTATTACAACTTCAATTTAACCTATAATTTTATTTTGTTGCTGGAGCACTAAGCAGATCCTCTATTTATATATGCACTCATATTACTTTACAATTATTATGACCTACATAGGTTATGACCTGTGTACCACCTGGCACATGGCATATTTGCCATCTAATAACAACAGAAGGAGAATCAGCAGGTGGACAACTTACAGTAACAGATCTAAGTGAGAAGTGCTGACAATCACAGATGGAAAAGTCTGGCATTAGAAAGTAAATTGAATCCTTTAAATTTTCCTTTCAGTGTACTATAGTGATCCATATTAAGAAAATATTAATATTCCGTCCTTTGATGCCAAATATCACCAGGAATATTATACTAGAAGTAATTTCAAAATATCACTTATACAATAAAAAGTGAAGTTAGTGTTTGATCTAAAAAAACTGCCAATAACATTTCTCCTAATGGAATCCTGAACATATGTTTTTACCTGATTTTATTTGGGAAAAATTAAAACAAAAAGAAAGTCCAGTCATCCTCTTTATTTTCTGTTTCTGTAATGGCAACTGAGTCATAGTTGCCACCACACAATGGCTTCAAGCTCCTCCTGTTTGTTGCCCATGTTGCGTGCATTGGTGTAGATGCACTTCAGCTGTGCCCCTTGCCTCACCCCGATCTCATTTATCAATCCCCTATGCTCATCTCCGGCAGGCCTGGTTTTATTCTCTTCCCCCTTCATATCTAGTTTAAAGCCCTCTCCACAAGCTCTGCCAGCTCCTGGGCAAGGATCCATTTCCTCCTTTGAGACAGGTGAGATTCATCAGCAAACCTCAGGCCAACTGCTGAGTAGACCATTCCATGGTCAAAGAACTAAAATTCTTGTGTTTGCATCAGCCTCTCAGCCTTGTTTAGAAGATGGGTTTTCCTGCTCCTCTCAGTGTCCTTCCCTGCTACCAAAGGAGTAGAGGAAAATACTGCCTGTATGCCTGCACCATTAATTAAGCGCCCCAGTCCACTGAAGTCATTTTTGATAGTCCTCAGGCTTCGGTCAACGACCTCATCACTGCTGGCCTGAACTATTAATAAAGGGTAATAATTGGAGAGGCAGATCAGAATTTTCCAGAAATATCCCCGACCTGGGCCCCAGGGAGGCAGCACATCTTCTTATGGATAGGGTCAGGCTGATATGAAGGGCCCTCCGTTCCTCTCAGAAGGAAGTTGCTGACAACAATCACCCTTCTTTCTTTCCTGGTGGAGGCAGTCTAGAGGTGTGGAGTTGATTGCTTCACCCCAGACAACCTTGCTGGTAGACCTCCCACCGTATCTTCACTCACATCTCCCTTCGGTTCCAGGGCCTCAAACCTATTATGTAGAGGAACCTGGGGAACTGAGGTAGGTTGAGATGAGGGTTGACTTCAGCAAAGCCTCTGACACTGTCTCCCACGGTATCGTCAAGAAGCTGGCAGGCCGTGGCTTGGACTGGTACACTCTTTGCTGGACAAAGAACTGGCTGGAGGGCCGGGCCCAGAGAGTGGAATTGAGTTAAGTCCAGCTGGCGACCAGACACAAATGGTGTTCCCCAGAGGTCAGTGCTGGAGCCTGTTCTCTTCAATATCCTTATTGATGACCTGGATGAGGGCATTGAGTGCACCCTCATTAAGTTTACAGATGACACCAAGTTGGCTGGAAGTGTCAATCTGCTTGGGGGTAGTGAGGCCCTACAGAGGGATCTGGACAGAGGCTGGTTAGCTGGGCTGAGGCCAATGAGATGAAGTTCCAGAAGTGGCAGGTCCTACACTTTGGCCACAACAACCCCAGCACTACAGGCTTGAGGCAAAGTGGGTGGAAGACTGTCTAGAGAAAATGGACCTGGGGGTATTGATTGATGCTTGGCTGAACATGAGCCAGCAGTGTGCCCGGGTGGCCGAGAAGGCCAATGGCATCCTGGCCTGCATCAGAAATGGTGTTGCCAGCAGGAACAGGGAAGTGATTGTACCTCTGTACTAAGCTCTGGTGAGGTCACAACTTGAGTACTGTGTTCAGTTTTGGGCCTCTCACTGCAAGAAAGACATCGAGTGTCTAGAGTGTGTCTACAGAAGGACAACTAAGCTGGCAAGGGTTCTGGAACACAGGCCTTACGAGGAGCAGCTGAAGGAGCTGGGATTGTTTAGTCTGGAGAAGAGGAGGCTCAGAGGAGACCTTATTGCTCTCTATAACTACCTGAAGGGAGGTTGTAGTGAGCTGGGGGTCAGCCTCTTCTCTCCTGTACCTCTGTAGACTCCTGTAACTAGTGATCTCCTGTAACTAGTCGTAGGACTAGAGGGAATGGCTTCAAACCGCACCAGGGGAGATTTAGGCTGGACGTTAGGAAATACTACTTTTCTGAAAGGGTGGTCAGGCACTGGAATGGGCTGCCAAGGGAGGTGGTCAGTCACCGACCCTGGAGGTGTTCAAGGAATGTTTAGATGCTGTGTTGAGGGACATGCTTTAGTAAGAACTATTGGTGATAGGCAGACAGTTGGACTGGATGATCTTGGAGGTCCTTTCCAACCTTGGTGATTCTGTGATTCTGATTATCTGAGATTCTGGAAGAATATTCACCATTAGTTCTCAGTCACAGAAATGGGATTATTATGCTTCTAAAACCTTACTAATTTGGAAAGGAGGAGGAATATGGGTGAAAACAGCAATGGGAACAACTGTTAGTACACAAGACACTATCAGAGAAATACTAACCTCTGATTCGAGTTCCAGTAGCATCAATCCTCTGCACACCACCAGCAAGCACCATGGCTACAGCCAGCTTTACCAGGTACAATCCAAACACTTGAGGACATAAGCTAGCCAAAATTTCATTCCTCCCTAGAACATGAGCAGAAAGTGGCACTCAGCACTGCCAGTAAATGAAGTAAAACTTCATTTCTCATGAATACATACATCCCTGCACTGATAAAAAAATTGGGCCTGTTTTTCTTTCTTTCCTTCTTTCTTTTTCATTTTTTAAATGAAACTCAAACGATTGTTTGATCCTAATGTTCTTAATTTTAAAGAAGTTAAATCTTCCATTGTCACAGGCAGCAATGCCAATCCTATCGCAGTTTAAGGAATGGATGGATGATTTAGGAAAAGGCACTAACAAAATGCCATCACACAACTGCTTTTGTTTCAAATAAAAGTGCAGAGGCTGTGAAGAAGTAAACTTTATTTATTCCACACTTCAAAATATCCCCTTGAAAACCAGCGTGTTGTTTTCTTATTTTTCTTAAATGTACATGTTTTCACATAGGCACAACACAGCTCATTTTCTCATTATCTTGACTCTACTTCTTCAATGTGTTCCTCCTCTCCTCCTCCCTTCCATAGCCTTAAAGAGCAAAAGAGCACTTCTATCTGCTATGATAATTTTGTTAGCTTGCCCTTTGAGATTCTGTTACCAACAGCACACTAGGGATTGCAGGATTCATGTCATACACTGCTAGAGCACATAAAACAAAGCAACCAATTTTGAATTCCTAACATGTTTTAAATTTGGATATAAGTACTTGGTACTGGCAAAATAAGTAGGCACCTTGTAATGACTTGAGACGTATATGCCTCTTGTGGAGAAGTTTGAGGAAGTTAACATATTTTTGTCCAAAAATCAAAAAATTCTGTTGGTCAGCCACAGCATAACTCAAGATTTTAGTTGCCTCTATTTGACTTAAGAGTCATCTGCCTTGTCAGTGATGAACAGCCCAACAGTTCTGCTTCTTCTTAGTACCCAGAAAAATCAGTCACCTGTCTAAGCTGTCTTCTCAGGACATACCTAGTACACAGCATCAGGAACTGACTGGCATGAAATGCAGAACTGTACCATTCTTTCTTGAAAAACAGTAAACATACACATACTACCTGTTCTGAAACGGCCTTCACAGTAGACTCATCAAGTTTGATCTCTGCCCTCAGCAGAGAGAATACTAATTCACAAAAACAGCCTGAAAGGAACATCTCGGGCAATCAGAATTCTTCCAATTTCTTTCCCCATTTTCTTGTAGCCACTTCATATATGCTTAATTCTGAATTACTAATATTGCATAAAACCACATTGCAGGTTTCCAAAAAATCATCTCGAGAATGAAAGACTACCTGGGACCATCAAAGTAGATCCTGACTTACATTCCAAAGTTTCACAACAGAGTGGTAACAATTGTTTTCACTCCAAACAGTCAGAGGCTAGCAATTAAACTACTTTCTAGGAAATGCGATTCTCAAGAATGTTTGTCATTGATGTAATCTCTGATTTCTCACGTGAGCAATCTGATTTTTAAGGGAAACAGTGACACCTACTCTTTTTTCATTTGTCTTTCAAGGAGAAAGACTAAGTTCAAAGTTTTAAAAGATGGTGCTATTTTGAGACAGTTCAGTGATATAAATCCCAGTGTCACTGGGATTTACATCAGGGGAGAGGGACGGAGTTTGGGGCACAACTGGTAATTGCTAGGTGGCAGACTGTAAACCAGAGTAAAATTAGGAGCCAGCCTGCTGAACACTCTGGCTGTTGGAAGCCACTTTCAAATCAGAGTCTCTCCATATGTGATGTGAGGCTCCACAGCACTTAAATCATGGGGCTTTACATTCCAGAGTAAGGCTAAAGATGGCATACGCTAAGCTGCTTGGCAATGATTCAGAGCTTAAGTTGGGATGCAGAGAAATGAGACATGTAGCCCCGGAGTCAACAGCTATGTTACTCAACAGCTAAGTATATCTGGTCCACATTACTTCTAATGAGTATGCTTTTTCTTTCATGTTTATAAAGCACCTTTTTTTTTTTTTTTCCCCCTTTTTTCATTTCTTGCTAATAAACATTCCAGAAAACACTTGACTAGAAATCCAAAAGAAGAAAGATCAATGAAAGATGTTTGGCACTATTTTAAAATAACTATTTTATATTCCTCTAGAAAAAATGTATTTTTGGAGTAACTAGTGGTAGGAATATATAGGGAAAATATATGCTCAGTCATTGTATTGTCACTCCTAATTTCATCTACTTTAAAGCTTTCAAGCACTAACCTGCTAAGGGATTATTCCTATGCTTTTCCCAGAAGTCTTCAAATTCCTTGCGGACTTCTTCGTCAATTATTACACCTGCTAGCTGCTCATTATTTACTTTAATATAGTTGGCTTTCAAAACAAGCTCCAAGTCACAGCGTGCATCCTGATGGAAAGGTTTCCATCTCTGCATTACCACTCCATACACTGTGATGTCATCTCCTATGGGTAACAACAAAGATTGGTTAAAAAAAAGAGGGGGAAAAAAAAAAAAAGAGAGAAAAAAAGAAAAAAAAGAGAGAAAAAAGGTAAAATCTATTACGACTGACAAATATGTGGCTGTGTCTGCAGTAATGGATAATAGTATAGTTTAGACCCTGTGTTACAAAGTTAAAAAGAAAACCAACAAAAAAACCCCAGAAAAACAAAACAGCAATAAAAAGCAATCCTGCAGTTTTTAAGTCTGAAACAAACATTAACTAGATTCCTTCTGTCTGTAGTAGGAAGCTACTATGTACTTCTACTTCTGAATTCTTTAAGTTATACCTACCTGTGTTTCCTCTTTTCTAAAAGAGCAAACACTTACTTAACCTTTGATTACTTCTTTGAAGAATACCAGTATCGCACATGAACCTTCTGGCCACAGTGTTATCAGACAGTACAACCAATAATGAGTACTGAGTTTCTTGTAGGGATATAACTAAGAATTTTTAGTCCATTCTTATTCATTCCCTCACCAATTAGCTTCCTTTTTGGAAGACAAGCAGCTTTTTCCATCTGCAGCATCCCTTAGATATATTAGTTTGCACAGTGTTCCAAACCTACAGACAGACATCACACTACAGGTATGGCCCAATCCACTTCCTTAAGAGGCTTGGGGTTCTTGCGCTAACAAACTTAGCATACTTTCAGTGCATCACAACACGACATTTATTGAAACTGATCTGTCAAATAATCAAGATACACCTTGTAGATAGATATACAGTGCTTTCTAGATCAGTCTTCAACTGCCATGCTAACTTCTAAGCTGAAACAGCAACATGACAGATAAACATATATCTTTAAAAAAACCCTCAGTACTGACAGACTGCTTGGCAGAGATCTCAAATGGAAGAGTAAAAACACCTATGGTACAATTAAATGTAACGTACACTATATCCTCACCAGATTTGCAACTGTCCACTAAGTCATCTTCCAGAACAACCACCATGCAACGAGGGATGCTTCCGACAGACAGTCTTTGAACCTAGGAGACAGGACAGAATAGCACTTATTAAGAACAGCACCTTTCAAAAGTCATTTATTGCAACTATGGCTTGAAGACCTTTTATCCCTTCTTGGAACTGAGGTCAATCCTTATTTTTCTCATAGAACTTACATGGTAAACACACTACTGCTGTCGGGAGTTTAAACATGGAAATTTGATGTTGATAGTAATGGAGACAGACATGGGTATTAAATTAGCTAAAGGTGCTCAATCCTGGGAGGTGCTGAGTAACTTCAATATCTTGCTGAAAAAACCTCACTAAGAGATATCATTTAAAATAACTGATTTTTGTTGTTGTCATTAATATTTGAGATATTTTTCAGACACTTATTCATTAAGTAAAATTTACTTTGAGTTCTGAAGCATGTCCATGGGTTAGATAACCCTTTACTGAACTACATACTGAAAGATTATTCTCTACATTTTTCTGGTATACTGTTAAAATTTGACAGATTGAGATTTAATTTACACCTAAGTGTTGAGAATTAAATTTGCACATAACCAGATGCATGTGTATTGACAGATGTGCCACTAACCATTGACAAGACTTTCCTTTTCTCCAGGGTAATGTATGCAGATTTGTCATGGTCTATTTCCAAAGAGAAATTTTTCCATTTACAATTAAAGCTTGCAATAGTTGTTAAAATATCCACTGCACAAGAACAAGAATCAAAAGTACCTCTCCATTTTACAGCAAAGGATTTTACATACTAGAACTCCAGATTTACTCATTGTCTTGTGCCTAGAAAGGGTAATCCACCCTTGTTAGTATCTAAATGGCCACAGGCAGCTCACATTATTGTCAGCACTGGTGGGACATGCAGTTACTTGCAGCGCTAAATAGAAAATGAGTGAAACTCATTCTTGATTTAACACTACTGCATTTAATAAGCTCACATTCCTTTTCCATCATAGAGATCTTTGTGTCATGCAGTAAAACAAAAAAGAATGTTACAGAAACTAAGTCAGAAATAATTATGCAACACAGGGTTTATTTCCAATAAATAGTTTGATTCCTTTTTTTTTTTTTTTTTTTGCTATTCTGAAATTTGTAATGTATGAAAACAATTTTCTGAAATAGAAATGTAACATGTAACACATATATTATATAGATTAGCACCACTACTTATAAAATCAAAAGTCTGAAATAACTGAAGAGAACTTAAAAAAGATTTATGAACATATAAACAAACATAGGAACATCAGCTGCCATGTACTCTGCTTATCCTCAATTTTCATACACTGTAGCTTTTCCTGTGCCAGTTTTGTCTTATGTGCTACTGTAAAAAGAGCCCTGATTGTTTGTTCACTTCTCCAGATTAACTGTCCTTGAGGCAGTTCACTCAGAACTAACTTCAAAAAACAAATACCAATTCTGTGAGGAGCACATTTTCAGTAACTGTTGATATGATTGTTGATTGAAGGAGGACGACATTTACAGATACCATATACTGACTATACTGTACCCCTACAGTTGACCTTGGCTACCACTGGGCTAGGTTTATTCTTTAGAAATAGCACAGAACATCAACACCATCTTCAGTCAGCACTTAGAGGAACAACACACGTAGTGATAGAAGGATTCAGCTCTGAAGTTTGATCTATGTAGTAACCATCAGTGTTTCATATGATCTTCAATATAATTAATACTTAATAATGGAAGTCTAGTCAACATGTGCCTACATTTTTTAGCTCTCTGACTGAAAATCTCTGAGAGGTAGATTCTCTGGCTTCCTGTAAGCTGATCAGCCCTCCTGATAACAACCTGTAAAACTTTTCCACTTATCTTAGCATGTAGAAGATTCACATGAAAACAGGATAAACTTAATTTGGAAGCACAGTTTCACTAAAATTAGTGGAGATGTCTTATTCCAGCATGAAATTAAGCCCTCAAATACCTTCCTTAGCAAGTTCATTATTTTAGTACTTGAGACATCTACACCACAGTACCCTCCCCCTTTCTCGATCTTTTTTTCACCTGCTCCTGAATTTTGATTTCTTGATAGTCTCGGCAGCTGGTAGGGGAGGAGGATGTTCCAGAGAGGCAAGTGAACTTGGTTGAGTTGCAGCCATCTTCATTCAAGCAGGCTGATGGACGGCAGAAAGCATAGTACTGCTCAAAGTCAGCCTTAGCCACAAAAACGTGTTTGCACTTATTGCAGATGTAGCTCCGCTCAAATTCCAACACTTTCACCAAACTGGTACGGATGACAGTTCCAGTGACAGACAAGAAGTGACCCACATCCCTGGTCTTAGGAATGTGCTCGCGAGTCAGCTCTGGGCAAATGGGCAAACCTGTTAAATCGAAATACATGCAGCATGAGACCACGTGCATGAAGTGCATGAAACATACTTGCAGTGCAATTAAACAGAGAAACTGGGAAACATATCTGACCTATTAACACTGGCTATAGCTGTTCTGTAAAGACAATTCAACAATTCATCTGTCCCAGCATACATGCGATTAATTGATCTTCAACAGTGAAAAGCATCAGATGCTGATCACAATAAGAAAATACAGTCATTTTACTCTCCTACTTTTGTCGACAGTCACAAGCAGTTTCCATTCATGAAAAAAGATCCTGATGTTCTCAGACCTATCAACTCAAATGATCTGCCAATATCCTTGATTCTCAACTGGTTTATCTTAATTGCAAACCTTTAGCTATGCTTTAACTGTAGTTCAGAATTGTTCCTGTGGTTTAAAAAAGCACAGTCCTGCATCCTGTGGGAATTCTCAAGTCCAAGCAAATTCTAAAGCCAAAGTACATGAGCATTTGACCTTAAATCCACGTTTGCACACCAGTAAACCTGAAGCACATGGAAAATGTCAGAAAAGGAATAGAAAAGGGTTAACAAAACAACCAGAGTGAAGTCACTTTTCTATTCAGATAAGTGGTGACAAAATTTTTGTGGCACTCCTCTCCTTTAACTCCATGCCAACAGCCAGCTGTGCTGCATGGATCCCACCCCTGTGTTCATCCGTATGGACACCACAGCAGAACAGCTGCTGAAAGCCTGAGGAAGATCAGTCTAAATCAACTGCCTGCAAGTCTTCATAAAAATAAATGGCCTCTAGAATGCGTTGCCTCTTCAGAAGTTATTTTACAAGAAACTGTAGAATTTAGTAAATATCAATTTAAACAAATTATCTTAATACAATTTCTTATAGTTTTACTTCCGAAACAAAGACAGAAAATGGAGATGTAAAATAATAAATCTGCTGGAAAATGATTTTTCTAAGGGGACCAACACTATTTGCGTATTTAGGTCAAATCTGCTCAGTAGCTTTGACTGTTAAGGAAAAGGCAGAATGTCCTTTTTTCAGTATGTCCAAAATCAAATCTTTTGTTTCAGACACGTTGAAACATTCAGCTTTGATGCTTTTAAGCAAAGTGTTTGACTTTTTGCTTCTGTTTAAAGAAAATATTATTAAACATTAAGCTCATTATAGATGAATTAAGGAAGTAATTTGGAAAAGAAATGAACTGTTATGTAGAACTGGAAACAAAGTAATTTTCTGGTTAACTGTAACAAAGCCATATATAGCTTCTTCCAAACCTGGCAAAAATTCTTATTCTTCCACAGCTTTGTGTTTTTATTCAGTTTAGTCAAAAGAAAATCAAAATCAAAATCCACTGTTTCTCAGCTTACATCAGAGAGTTGCAGCCCTGTTGGCAGGATATATGCTATGACTGTCCCAGTGAATAGCAAAAAGACAGGAGGCTGGACAGGGAAAAAGGGAGCTTTCGCTCTGATTATATCAGACTGCTTGACAAACTATTTAAGTGCATGTCTCTTTGAATAAGCTTTCGTGTATAAGTAATAACATGTAAAACTGAACTACCACCAGCAGCATGGCTATCAACAACTGACGTGAGCACTCAGGCTAATGGTAAGGCAAAATCCTTTAGTGGATTTGCATCAAGAAGAGAAGTGGCACAATTAAACTTGTACAATGCTGAAATTCAGATAATTGCACAGGGAAGGAGGGGTAACCCACTGTCAACAACAGCCTATTCACACCACCCGCATCCTTCTCTGAGCTCCTTAGCTATCCTGTCCATATCAACACAAGTGTGCCAAGATTGCATTCTTATCCCTAACATAAACCAAACCGCTTTCCCTCACTCCAGCTCAAGCCTGCAAATGCATCCTAGAACACTACAAATACAGTTTTCACTTGCTCATACTTTTATTAGTATACTAATGTTTCAATATTCTGTGCAACACAGAGGACATCCTTGCACATCACGTAGACAGCAGTTGTACACCGTGACAACAAAGCAGGTCACAAACTGTTGTGCTTTGTTTTTCCTAAAATCATGGACAAAATGCATTTTGAGAGCCACAAGGTAATTATATTTCTGGTGCTTATATTTTAGTGTCAGCATTTTTTGTGAAACATACTGGATAAAAAGACATTTATTCCCACAAATATGATTCACTGAATCAATCACAAAATGGTTTGGTTGGAAGGGACTTTTAAAGACTGTCTAGTGCCAAACCCTCTGCCATGGGTAGCAACACCTTGCCCTGGATCAGGTTGTACAAAGCCTCAGCCAACCTGATTTTTACCACTTCAGATGATGAGGCATCTACCACTCCTCTGGGCAACTCTCATCCACTTACAGGACCTTGCTGAAGTTTCTTATGAATTCCTTCTCTCTCTAACAGTCCGTCAATCAAAACAATATATCTCCAATATAGAGGCAAGAGAGGGAGGCTATATCGTGGGGGATCGTGTCAAAGGCCTTAAGGAGGAGAAGGTAAATGACATCAACTGATCTTCCCTTGTCCACTGATGTCCAATGATGTCTGTGATGGTCACTCCATCACAGAAGACCACAAACTCTTGGGTTTACTCAAAACAGAGCTGGGACTGCCATGTGCATGCTCTCTACATTCAAGCTGCCAAAAGACAAATGATCATAAAGCACTCAAATATGGGGCAAGTGAGGGAAACAGTGGTCACCATCTCCTGCCTCTGCAAACTGGAGAGCTCCAAATAGTCACTGTCAGCAATGACATGATGGGACCATGCCACCACCAAACCCAGTTCCTTACTACCGGTGTTTTAACTTCAGAACCTGCACTTCATAGCTACTGCACCTCAAAGCCACTAAAGTCTTCCCAACAGTGAAGAATAATGGCATTTGTAGTGAAAAAAAAACAACAATGAAATCCATTAGTAAAGACCATTCTTTCCAACAGTTCATTCCAACAAGTAATTTTACAACTACTAGTTAAGCACAGATTTTAACTAATTCAGATAAAACTACAAGACTACTTACCCTACACATAGCAGGGGAGTTGAAACTAGATGATCATTGTGGTCCTTTTCAACCCAGGCCATTCTATGATTCTATGACAACTCAAAATTTGGACTCTGCCTGTTCTGGAACGTGGTTGGCAAGCTATGAGGAAGTCATAGGGCAAAAACAGCTAGGAACTGTACCTTCCTCTAGAACTTACAGCCAGACCTTCTGGCTGTCAGGACAAACAGCCTGAGACCAAGCACTGGTCTGAGGAGCTCTTTTCTCATGAGAAGACTGCTGTTTGAGTTTTGACCCTGTAACCTCTAACCACTGCACACGCACCATAAGGGATACCTGCACGGCCTACGTACCTCCACATAACCTACCGACAAGTGTCACAGCACAGGGAGAGTCAGAAAGACCAAGGAGAAGCTGCCCTGCCGCCTCCCTGCCCGCCGCTCACCTGAAATCCTGGCGTGGAGGTTGGGCTTCATGCGGAGCTCCGAGGACGGCGTGGCGGCCTGCAGCACCGCCATGGCCGCCCGGCGCAGCGCTCCGTCAAAGATGGGCAGCACCTGGCTGGGGAAGGCGTTGAAGTACTCCCCGATCTCCATGTTGGTCTCGAACAGCGTCAGGGCGTCGACGAGGACCGGATAGTGCGCCTCGTCGTCCGCCTGGCGCAGGATGCCGAGGATGTCGTCCCGGTGGTGCCGCAGCAGGTAGGACTCGAACACCTGCCCGATGAGGCTCACCTGGTCGGCGCGCAGCGCCATGCCGAGCCTGCCCGGACGAGCAAGGTAAAGCAGTTAGAAAGCGAGAGGCTTCGGGATCGAGTCATGCGGGATTCTACAAACTTAGGGAAAAGCTCGCGGCGGAGCGAGGCCCAAGCAGGCCGGGGCCGGGCTGTGCGGGGCCGCCACGGGCACCGGCTCCTTCCCACCCCTCGCTGCCGCGAGGCGGGACGGCGGCTCCCGCCTGACGACGGCCGCGGGCGGTGCTGCAGCCCCCGGACAGCGCTCCGCGTGGGGCGGCGCCGCGCTCCTCGCTCCCACCCGCCCTCGGGCAGCCGGCACGGCAGGGCCCGGCCGGGGCTCTCCCCGCCCGCGCTGCAGAAGTGAAACCTCCCGCGCTCGATCGGCGGCAGCCGCTGGTCCCGCCCGCCCGGCCCGGTAGTGAGCAGCGCGGCAAGATTTGAACGCGGCGCGGCGCGGCAGCTCGCTGTATAGGCCCCGGCCGCGCTCCCCGTGCATCGGTACCTGAAGCGCGGGCTTCCGCCGCCCTTCTGGCCGGGTCCCACCGCTCCGTCAGGCGGCGGCGGCGGGAGGAGCGGTCCCGTCCCCGCCCCTCCGAGCCCGGCCCGGCAGATCCGCCCGCCTGCTGGAGCCGCCCGCACGGCTCGGGGCTGTGTGCCGGCGTGAAGAGTGCAGGTGTAACTTCTTTGTAAGGAAGTTAGAAATTGGCGATAGGACGAGGGGAAACGGCCACGAACTGAAGCCTAGGAAGTTCTGCGCAAATGTGCGTAAGAACTTCACGGTAAGGGTGACAGAGCAGTGGAACGGGCTGCCCAGAGTGGCTGTGAAGTCTCCTCCTCTGGAGATATTTACGATCTGCCTGGATGCCTACCTGCGTCCAGCCCCTACAATTCCGTGTTTCTGTGAAATTCTCTGTTGAGTTTCTGGCCCTTAGGATCTCCCACTGTTGGCTTGTGTTAGTGGTAAAGTCCCGTTGCTTTATCAAATAGCCTTTTGCTAACCAGTTGAATGGATGTTCCTGAAAAAGCACTGCTGAAATCTGCACTAATACATAAATCCATCACTGAAAATACGGAACTATTTCTGACAAAGCATCTGGGTGTAGTATCAGGCTGACCCTGTCTCCACAGTACACTTTCAGTGTCAGTTTTATTCAGCCTAAGGTGCTGTCTTGCAAGGTACCCAAACCAGGCTGCTTCTTTCTAATGACGACACAGATAATGTTGGATATTAGGAAAAGAATATTCTTAGAAAGAGTGATGAGGCTTTGGAACAGGCTGCCCAAGGAAGCAGTGGTGTCACCGCCCTGGAGGTGTTCAAGGAAAGGGTGGGTGTGGAACTGAAGGTTATGTTTAGCAGGCTTGGTGGGGATGGGTCAACAGCTGGAGGTCTTAGAGGTATTTTCCAACCTTAATGACTCTTTGATTCTATGTTTCTGCACGCCAGTTGGGTCAGCACAGTTATTTGTTTTCTTGCATGGAAGAGACAGCCAGCAACTGGAGCAGTTAATTACAGCTACAGAGCAAGTGAAGGTTGCAACTAGGTAGTGGTTCCTAAAAAAAAAAAAAAACAAAAAAACAAACAAACAAAACCCTCAACAACAACAAAAAACAGCCGCTGCCCCCCCTTCTCCTCCTCTTTATCTAGTGAGGATGTATCAAGCTGTACCCCAATATGTAGTATGAACCAAACAAAACAACATAAAAAGAAGACAAAAAGAAAAAAACAAAAAACAAAAAACAAAAAAAAAAAAACCAACCAACCCTGCCTGAAATATTTAGCATTATCAAATGATAGCTAGTAATAACTATGTGCTTCACATATTAATGAAGAAATACTTAGTCAATAAAAACTCCTCCTCCGAAAGGTACCCTGTGATCATTTAGAAATCCAAAGGTAGCTTGTGGATCTAAAACTGCTTTTTAGTTTTACAGAATATGTGTACCATGGAGCTGGCAATGTTTCAAGGGTACAAGAACTGTCAGCCAATACAGTGGTCAGTGGTACACATCCAATGTGCAACTGGGATGCTGCCAGCAGGGCTGCATAGGTGCTGAGATGAGCTCACAGATGTTACAGGTTAGGTGAGGATTCAGACTAAGCAGGATGAATGAGATTTGCTGTTCATTTTACAGTAACACTTGAGCTTACATGCTACCTCAGTTTCTGTTCCATTGTCAGGTGCAACTGTGTCTGCCTCTCCTGTTTACAGGCTGCAGTACGGTTATATGTTTCTCTGTGCAGCCAGGCACCACAGCTGATGGTTTCCAACTGTATTTACAATTCAAGGACTATTGGTCAAGTTAAAGTATTAGCTGCCCTCTGAACTCTTCAGCTGGACTGCAGGGTTGAACTTGGTAGGCTTAATCATTGAATATACCTCATTATAATAAGGCCAGATTTTGGTAGCTATTGTGGAACTACACTTTTATATTGTTAAACTTAGCTCTTCTTGTTTCCTAGCAACACTGGTATCAACACTTCTGGCATCATCTGCTTCTCACAGTGTTCGGCCCGCTGTTTACAACAAGCAGGCCGTGATACCACGGCTAACTGAAAATAACTGAGTTGCAATTTACAAATACTCTTAAGAGTGTCCAGGCCTTATGGTTTGAGCAGTAGATAAAGCCTGAGCTGTCTAATTGAGTATATGCTTTTAAAGAATGAGCATTAACACAGTAAAGGAGTGCAGCAAAGGACCCTAATGGCAAGCTGGGCAACAAGTTCAGTTGTTAATATTCAGGCTGAGCAGTCAGGCTGGAGAAGTTCTGGTTCAGCCAGGCTGCCAGATTTTGTTACGTGATCCCAGTGCTACCTACGTTGGTACTTCCAATTACTGCAGAGTATCTAAAGAAATGGATACTTATAAATAATAATTTTAAAATACACTGCAGATTAATTAAGTGTAAAACTGAAAAGTGATTTTGCTATGCAATTATACGTGGAAATTTTGCCAGAGACTTTATAGAAAAAAAATGAAACTGATACAATCAAAACTCAATTCCAGAAAGTAGCTAGGCCACAATACTAGAAACTAAAGATTCACTTCCACTAAAACAAAAAATGGCTTATTGCTTGTCTAGGAAGAGTAGTAAAAGTACTGTTACTAGATTACACTGAGCATACCGTGAGAAGAGCAACATGACTCCTGAAAGTCATTTTGCATCTGTCAAAGCTGCTGTTTTTGCAAATTATATTTAGAAAATAAAAAACAAAAAGGACAGGCTAGGATTCCTTACACCTACATTTAGGCAACTAAGGCATTTAAGTGCACTGTTGCTCTACAGTCTTTGTACAATAAAAAGAGGTAAGTGTGCTGATTCACTTCTGAAGCTGCCCGTTGACTGCAGAGAAGGTGTTCTTTAGCTGAGTGATAGTCACCTTCCTTATAAGCAAGAAAGAATTAGTGAAATTTATCTGTGACTAGCACTGGAGTCATGCAACCATATTCATATATATCTTAAAATAAGGGGTTAGTCTGAAAATCCTGAACAAGCCTGGTTTCTAATGTTATGAGTGTATTCTGTATGCAATTTATTGCCAGTATAGTAAATGTAGTGAAGTAACAAAAAAATAGTAGTAGGAGGGAGTCGATCAGATAAAGCAGTACTAACTGTAGCTTAGTTTTTCAACTGTATGCTTGTATTTTTTGTTGTTTTGTTGTTTTTTTTTTTTTTTTTTGTTCCCCTCAAGTATATATTCCCTTTGAGTATACCTTGATTTAACAGAGGGTTTTTGGAATCAGGGTAGTGTGGTCAGGCAATTCTATGATTCTATGACTCCAGGTACAATTTCTGCCACAGAACAAAGCCATGCAGTTCTTGTGACATAGTTCTTCATTGTGGTATGAGAGTATGTTTGTAAAATGGAGCATTTTTCTGCTAACCTGGAAGATTCACTGGGTTTCACAATCATCACAGAAGTGAATTAAGCAATACAGACTGAAGGGGCAAAGTTCTGCCTGAAGGCAAATTATTATGACATTCTGATTAAATGTAGTATTCATCTGCATTTTGCCCTGCTGTCGAGTATAGTTTGTTACTTCTTTCTTCCATAGGAAAACACAGTAAGGATTAAACTACATTATTTTGTATTTGCTCTTTGACTTCTCATTGTTAATTTCTTTCTGGATAAAACTGTTCAAGGTCAGAGGGGTACTAAGTCCTGATAATCAGATTTATGTCTCAGATAGCAAAGAGAACTCTTGAGAGTCAAGACATTTCCCCTACCATTTTAAATAATACCAAACAATCTCACTCTAATTCTGTCCCTCTTTAACTCAGAGGTGTCTGCTGAACTAATAGGAGGGCAAGAAAACACCCAGGAGTAAAGACTATGGACTGCAGAACTGGACACCAGATACTGCAAACAATGGTATTGTGATAAGTCAACTTCATGTATTAATTCAAAGTGTCAACTTCTTTTAAGAAAGTGTATTACAGAGTTCTCAATGCCATTTGATAGAAATTTTTTTTTCCTAGTTTGTTGAGGTTGATTTTTAAGAGACTGGTTTGATAGTGGAACAGCTGCTGACTTTGGCAGATGTGGTGCCTTCTCAATTTTCTCCTAATTATAAAAACAAATGCCTGCTAGCAAAAAGAAACCCTGGGCGCACCTTTTACTGAAGTCTAAAAACAAGAGCAGTTAAAGTGAATGCATACATTGTCATCTTACAAATATTGTTCACTGTTAAATACACAAAAATACAATGAAGTGGCGGATGGGAGAAAAAGGCAGAGCCCTCTATATACTTTGCAATGTGTAAGAAAAAATACACAACACTCACTTCAGAACATTATAACAAAATGAGCTAGTGTATTTTATTTCGGTAACAGCCAAGAAATCTGACATTTTGCCCAATATGGCTTTCTTCTAAAATTAAAAAGTTGCATATTACCTCCATTTGAGTGCACCAGCTACAGAAAATCTCCTGTATGCATCTTCAGTTCACAGTAGCATCACCAGAGTACAGCTTTCAGTGGATTTTTCAAGCAGAATTATAAGATAGAAGTTTTAAAATGTTCATTTAGAATATTTTATATTGTTTATATGAAAACATACAAATTTTTCATTTATACATATACTACATATAAAACTCATTGTAATTAGCAAGTATATTCATCTGGGTATTTACCTTTGTGCATACAGGGGAAAAAAAGTATGTTGTTAGGGCTTCAGGTGAAATATTAAAGATAGAGACTTTAGTATATGCTAACTAAAACCTTAGTTAAACAACTCAAACAATTGTTCCTGCTTTTAAAAGATAAGAGATTTAGCTTAAAAATACATTCATAAAACAAAGAGACAATTTTCTCCCTGAGACTACCAGTGTGAGTTACTTTGTGGTAATCATTGAATGAAAAAATATAAAAGAGACAACAGGCTTTTTCTATATGCCGCAGCAAATTTCTGGAGCAACACCAGAATCAAAAAAGGTGTAGATTGGAGAATCATGCTCATTAGCTGAAAAAAAACATGTTCATATATTAGACATTAAAACTCTTAATACAGACAACTGAAGGTAATTAATTTTTAAAGATCTGTATCTCTAGTATGTATAAATGGCAAAAAGTTTTTTGAGTTTGATTATTTACTATTTCAGACATGAATTTTATCTAAAGCAAGACTTTATGCCCCAAACGTAGACTTTTGATTTATGCAGAGATGTATGGTATTCTACAGGTTTCACACATCTTTGTTAATATTCGTAACATAAATGCACAATTTGTGTGAACAGCTGCTGTTTAAATTCAATGACAAGATGTTAGATAATAACTAGAAGGTAAAGTCTCATGGGCATCGGTTAAGGTGTCAAAAATCTGTCCCAAAGAAAAAAATTCCAACTTCTTTTTTTATGGCCTTCTCACTCTGAGCATCTACACTGATTTCCATAGAATTTACATTCTTCCTTTTAAATGTTAGAAGGGGGACAGTTTTTAAAATACAACAAAGTAACAGAATAGAACTGGGATGGATTAGACATACCCTGCCCAAATTGGAGAGAATTTTTCCTTTCACAAATTACATTGTATTTATAACAACCATGCGATTTTTTTGGGAGGAAGCCTTACCTAAAAGAAAACACATTTCTAGGAAAAAGGGGGAAAGCATTATGTTTGTTCTACCAAAATTTATTATGTAGTAATTACAAAGTTTAAAGATCCTTCCATCTTAAGTAAAAATAATAATTACACACATTATATAATACCATGTCAAGTGATTTCAACAAATATCACATGAAATACAGTGCATTTTCAAATCAGAAAGACAAATATTTTCTCATTCACAGTGTTTGACAAATTACAGGAAAGCTCGTTCACATGAGGGTTTACTTAAGGTCATGCTCTTATAAACAGTCCACATCACGCTGTGCCACAAAACGAATCATCTCTCAGAATGTGAAGTATCGGGCAAGCCACTCCTGGCGTTGTGGATCTGGTGAAGCCACTGGTGAAGCATCAGTCTGAGGAGGGCTAAATTCACAAAAAGAAAAAGATATTAACCCACAACTAAATGGAGTACCCAACTTAGGAGGAAAAGATTCTCACAGAGAATATCGAGTACAGAACAATCTTGTTTTTCCCTGGATTCGTAATCAGCGTGCCTCTGGATACGATTTAATGTCTCCCTATAGAACTTGTGATCATCCACTCCATTGGAGAGCATCAGCAGCACAGATAAGTCAATTCAGAAGCCACATTACAGGGTGATTTTGGGAAATATAATTTAAAATCTCATGAACAGCTGTGTACTATCAGAAGAATAAAAAGGGCTCTCTTGGAAAAGTGTGTCTGTAGAAGGTCCTCTTTTAGCATCCTTTTCCTGTGGTAAAGTTAATTTTCAGAAATATGATGCAAGCATCATATTTGTAGACATGTGCTCACAGAGACTGATTGGTAACACACTATTTTCATACTTTACACTGATCACAAATATCACTTGCATTGTTGTTCATGCATATATTTTAAATATTCTAATATATGAGGAAAAAATAAATTGCTGCATCGCAAACAATATTTGATTCCTCTTTGAACCATTTAAAATCTCACTGAATGAGCAAGAAAGTTTCATAATACAATCAAGTTTCTTTATCAATAAAAATCCATAATAAAATAATCCCTACTGTATTACTGGGTAATACAAAACACAAAACAATTTGGAATGGAAACTCTAGCATCACAGTCCACGAGTTCATGCACATGCATGATATAGGTATCTGAGCACAGTCATGCACATTACATGCACAGGAAAAATAAGAAAGACAGTATTTTTGAAAAGTAACTGTTAAGTAAAGAAAAGTCTATGTCAACTAATCTATTTTGCATTCTACTATTTGCCTCCTTGAATAGTAAGTGGTTGCTGGGTATGTGGCCTTCCACATTAAAACAGAAAAAAAAGGGTAAACAGCCAAGTGTGGATCTGGTAACGATACACAGCTTGAAGTTGCCAACTTGAAGGTAAGAGGTCAGTAGATACAGCACACAGCACTTTTTCAGTGCCTTTAATATGTAGCCACATAAAGCAAAAAGATTAAAATCCCACCTCTAAGAAACCATTTTAAGTTAGTAATTCAATTCATTGTATCAATTCTTTAGAGAATGACTTGAGACTTCAATGCTGACTTAGTTACTGGAAGCTCAGCATTAAGCATTTCAAGCATATGCCCTTCCTGCTTCTGCAGTAAAGTTTGCCTGTGATTTGTTATAGGTGAGGAAAGGGGAAACACAGAACATTTGTGTAGCACAGAAAATCGTCTTCTAACATAAAAACCATTATCAGACAATACTGAATAAAAGAAATTCTGTGCTAGTAACAATTTCTAAATGACAATCAGCAAGTAACACAAACATTTAAAACAATTGTTCATATATGTAAACAATTGGAAGCACATGAATTCTGTAAAGGTATCTAGAGAGGTTTTCCAACTTCAAGACTTATGAAAAAGTGAGAATATACTTCAGTAAGGTCTACAATAAAAAGGAATACTATAAAGAGGTTACAATTATAATGTAAAAATTGAAAATTCTGTAATATTACTTGTATCTGAAAGGTTCATGAAGCAAGTGGGATTCAGCTCAATACAAAAGCAAAATTTTCCTGAGTTAAGAAAGAGAAAAAGGTTGGTGAGGCAATGCTCACCTCAAAAACGTCTTGGGCTCTTTGGGTGGTATTGGCTGTGGCAGTGGTTTGCTGCTGTTGAACTCAATATCGTGGATGGGTGAGTTAGGAATGGGGTCCAGGCGGTTAGGATGTCCATTGCCCACTCCGCTAGATTCCAGAGCACTTAGATTGGGGACACTCACAAACCTGTTTGTTGACTTATCGTTCTTCTTCTTTTGCTGCATTAAAAATAACAAATATAAGGAAGGCTTCTTGTACCAGGACAGTTGAGGAAATCTGCAAATTTAGGATTTTTTTTTTTTTTTCTGGCTTTTTGTTGGGGAGAGGGAGAAGCTGGATAGGAAGGAGAGCAGCTGGGACAGAGTGGCTTTTTTTTTTTTTTTTCCTCCTAATTGTAGTTCTACAGTTTGTTTTGACCAGAACTGAACAACACAATTTTTTTTTTTTTTCCACATTTCTAATTAAGACCTACTGTAATAATCAATGAGCACGTTATTTTTAAAGATATTCCAATATAACATTTTACTCTATTTTAAGACATCAAAGACAGTAAGCTTTCCTCAAATTTACCAGTTAGCCTGTTAAGCTTTTCACCTTTACTTAAGTCTTGTTTTGGTATTAGTGGAATAGCTTTACTGTCATATGTAGTCACAGCAAATTTCAATGATGAAAAAAACAAATCTCTCCAACAGGTTTCACCTCATTACTGATGTACATTTTGGTCAGTAAACACGGAACCTAGAGAAACAGCTACATTTCTTTTAAAATAATTATGCCCCCAAAGTTAGCAAGCATTATAACAATACTGTTGAAGAAGACAATACCGTGTGAGAGTTCTTGTTCCTTGCTCAAAGGCTAGGCTTCTAATGCTACTCCAGTTAACGTTTCTGGGCACCAGATGGCGCAACAATATTTTTTCTGTCTTAATACTCTTTTTACTACAGATAATATTCAAGGGACTCGAAATACTGACAGATTTTATTTTGATATAATTGTTCAACTTTCCATAACACATCATACAAAGGAATCAGTATTTATCTGCTTTTATAGATATTTTAATGTAAATATGCTTCAAATAATTCTCTAGGTCTTCAAATTGTATTGACAGAATACCATGTGTGTTTCCTGAATTCTATTGAATATTCCATGTCAGTGATAAGGATTATTAAAAAAAACCACCCTATTTAAAAAAAAAAAGATTCATTTCTTCTCGTGAATTATCTATTAACTGAGTATATAATCAATACTGTCAGCAGAAGAGCTACACTATTCATTAGTGTCAGGTGTCCAAATGGAGACAGAGTCCTACTGCTTGTTTGTTTGTACTCTTCTATTTAGTTCTCTGCTAGCTTTGATTTCAGTACCTGCCCTCTCCAAAGCTGAGAGGTGAAAGTGCTGCTAGTATAGTGCAGTGGTGCATACCTTTGTAACATGAAATTAAATATATATATTGAACAGAAGGCTATACTAGAAAAATAATCTTTTTTAATCACCACAGTAGATCGCTAGCTGCAAAAGCTTAAACTAATTCTTCAGGCTGAAAAAGCAAGAAATAACAGCATCATAGGAAAACTGGTAAAACTGAAAGTAGCCAAATGTATGAAAAACAACTGCAAGGTGTTATACAATGTAATTAAAACTGTGTGTAAACCACACTGTAGTTAAATCTATGTGCTTCATAAGTGGCTTATTTCTGCAAAATGTATTTATCTCTATAAGTGCTTTGAGAAACACTACAGATTGTATCTTGTTTTTTATAAAGCACTCTATACTTCCAGAGCAGTCAAATCTGGAGAAAAACTGTGTGTATTGTTTCCATGAAGTTCATGCAAAGTATTACAAAACATCAGATTCAACAACATAATACTAAACAGATCCATTGCATAAATTTGAGAAACTCCAATACATACTGCAATGGTTGTAATTTTGCATTAAAGTGCAAAGCCTGCACTCATTTGTAACTTCTGGGTTTTTTTATTATTACAAAGAGAGTGAAGTTTTCAGTTTCTCTGTAATTCATTCTCTAATAAACATAATATGTGCTTTGATAAAGTAACATGTTCCACAGATCATGAAATGAAAAACTAAAATGTTCTGGCATACAAGACTTTTTTAGAGTCTTAATTTTAAGTGATAGAAGCATATGATAAAAATACATGAAGTATCACTATGGAAATCTGATGTTGAAGTACTTTTCCCAAGCACGTCAGATTTCACACAAAACACAAGCTTATATGCTCAGTGACTAAATTTCACATCTTTATAAAGGAATGGTTCAGACAAACTTCCAAAAATTTCAAACAACTTTTCACACAACAACAAAGAATTCAAATTAGTTTGGACCTAGCTGAGACAATACCAGGACTACTAAATTCTTTTATGCAGGTATGCATAAAAGTTAGGTATCAGCAGATAAACTTGCCAGAAGTGCTGGACTCCTGAAAAGTGTTGGAGAGCATTGACAATTTATGGCAGAGTTTGTGCAGATGTGAAAATATGATGATCTAAAGTGAAACTTCATAAAGCTGAGCTAAATAACACAGCCTGATCACTTAAATGACAGGGAGAGACCATCCTATTTGTTCTGCTTAACCAAAGCCATCCCAAGTTCTACCTCTACAGCTGGGGAAAATCTCTTCTCTTTCCATGCAGGTGAAATGGATTATTGCAAGAAAGAAGGAAAGGTCAGAGAACTCATTGTGACTGCTTAAGTGGTGAAAAGAAGCAGAATGAAGGTACTCAGCTAGAGACTACTTATGTTCCTCATATAGGAATGCTTCTGGCTTTTTAAGTGACAGTGATGCTACTATGGCTGTTTGTACAGTAGCCTCTCTGGGCTGCTATTCACCAGGATGGAGAGAACAGGCTTTTACTTAAGTGTTCTTACTCATATAGGATGTGATACTGATTGAGATGGTTGAAAGCTGATTTCCATCTTCTGCTGCTCTTACAGTCCATACCTAGTTTACCTCTCCAATCCTCTATCTTTTTCTACTCAGTCTCATTCCATGTCCTTCTCATACTCTTTTTCTTCCTGTTTTTGCCCCTATTTCTTTTCTTTCATGTCCCCTCTCCCTTCGTCTTTCTAGCGACTTTCCATCCTGCGCCATCTGAAAAAAAATTGCCTTTTCCAAAATAGCCAAGAGAAACGATGAAAATTAAAACTAATTTGGGATGTCACTGTTCTCTTCTATGACATGCTACATTTCTGCTCTCTATAGCCTTTCTATCCCTTTTCTATTTTGATTTTAGAGTTTTGTGAGGAGGAACTGTTTTATGTCATACATACATACATACACAAAAGAAAGAAATACCTGCACAAAAATCAGGAAAGACAAATGGAGAATGATGTTCCTTGTTTTGAATTTGTCTTTAAATAAAGACTGATAATATGTACACATACACACACATTTCTTCTTTTTAGTATATGCTAACTTTAGATTTCTTATTTTTTACTTTAGCAATGAAGTCCATGGAACATACCTTCACCAATGGATTAATAACACCAACATTAGGGCTTGCATTAAACACTTTGTTGTAGTTAGTCTCCCTGTTAACTAGCTCCAGCTGATAGAACTTTTTGTCCTCCTAAAAAGAAGAACAAATAGAAACTTCTTTTTATGCATTCTCAATCACTTAGTGGCCAAATCTGCCTATAAAGTGATTTCAAATAAATTTATGCTTATGTTTTTTAAAGAAACTGATACTTCTAAAAACTACATTTCATATTTAATGTTAAATATATTATTATATGTAAATATTAAATAATTTATATTTATGCTGTTCTGTTGTATATGTTCTAATTGTGCATTGGTAACAATTCAGTATAGATAATTTGAACTTCCCAAATTCCTTCTTGCTTCTGAGTTAGAACCTAATCAAATTAATCTGAGCCAGGCTACCAAGGTGTGACTTTGGGAAACTCAGTGCATCAAGAAACTGGAACTCTTATTAGATATCTCTTAGAACCCTATCAGGTAACTCATAGAAGAGACTGTTTCTTGCATGGATTACATGGCTGGCTTCTTAGTCCAGGTCCGCAGATAGGATACATCTGACCAAGGTCATACTGCAGTATTTTTTTGTAATGATGTATTATGCTTGATTATGCAAAATTCTGTATTTAATAGGTTTACTGTTATGAGACGGTGGAACCACAGGGACAAGGTATTAAAGAATACAAATACAAGCTATCAGGATTGGTTCTTTAGATGCATTTTGAACACTTTGAATTAGATTAACATTTGTACTTATGAAGATATTGAACCAAGAGAGCATAAAAGTCTTACAATCAATTTCTTTATGAGTTGGTCCCGTTCTGCAATTAGGTCTTTCAGTTCTGAGATAAGCTGCAAGTCTTCTGGTCTTGATTCTCTGTTTTTATATTTTTCTTCCATTTCTTCTAAACTTTATAGGAAGGAAAAATACCCCCTTTAGCCTGATCAAGTGCTAAATGATGAGAGAATCATATCTTTCATTTATGCAAAAGAGAGTTCAAGTAATAAAAACAGAAGATGATTTTTTTTTCCTTGAAGTAAATTAATTTCTGTGTTATCACTTAAGCTTTAGCTAGTTGAAAATAACAAAACCCAAAATCTTTGCTACAGTAACTAAAATTTGGGGCAAAATTCTATAAACTTCACAACCTTTTCATGCATGCAGTACTAGCTGTTAGAAAAAAGGCCTCTTGGAAGCCAGACTGAAAAGAAGGCACTCACAAATAAAATGAAAAACATGTACAGTACAATTACAGAACACATAGCTGAGACTGGTTATTATGCATGATACAGGAACTACATTGCATTATGTTTAATATTAATGTAAATTTTAAAAGCTGACAAGTGATTTGGTGAGGAAAAACCAAACAGTATGATTTTCTTTTGATAGATGACTACTCTCAATAAAGTTGCATGCTTGTGATACTGGAGAAATAGATAGATAAATCTGGCACCATCTTCCTCAGTTCATGTGGAACACACTGGGACAAAGATATCCAAGAACAGTGAAGACTAAGAGGTAACTAATTCCTCTCCACAAAAGCAACTTAGTACCATTAGAGCTGAAATAAAGGAATGAGCTGTAAGAGAAAAGCAATAAAACCTGGATATTAGGATATCTGAATTAAAAGAAATGCCATGATTCTTGAAAAAAATAAAATAAAAATAGAAAACCCGAAATGCTTAGTGGGAAAGCATTAAAGGAGAGAAGTGAAATAAGCAGACTGAGAGACAAATTGCACAAGTAATTGCATAAATCTCCTTGTTTCTTCTTAAAGAACAAATTTTGAAAGCACCTGATGATTTCAAATAGCTGCACACATTTCTGAAACAAACAATGTTCATAACACTAAACATTGCTGTAAAGGAAACCACTGAAATACTAGTCTCACATATTCTGCTTTCATGTAGTTCACTGTACCAAGCTTCAGAAGAGACTCAGATGAAAAAAAAATATTCCTGAGAAAAACCAATGAATTTAAGGTATCTAGTCAGCTCAAACTTAATTCCACAAGACACGCCGAAGTGACCATTTTTCAATTTAGGAGGCTACTTTCTCCTCAGAAACAGCTTCATAATTCTGACTTTGAGTTGCTTCTGAAAGCACAGTGCACATTAGATTATATTTATAACCTTCAAATAACCTGTACATAATTTGATGGGATTATGTAATCTATTTATATAATACATTATGAATGTGAAAAAAAACCTTTTTATTTTGCAGAAAATGCATTTGACTCAGCATAACAAAAATATGCTCAGATGGCTTAATTTTGGGGCATACATTTTATGCTACATTAAGCTGTTGTATACAGATGCCCAGAGTGTAACACAGCTATGCACAATCCACAGAACTGTGCATATGTGTGCAAAGGAACAAGAAGCAGAACTTGCTGCAGTTTCTGAGTGCTCACAGTGTTAAGACAGAATTAGATTAATTTAGGCTTTACTGGCGATTTTTAGTTGATATTTATGTAGAAAAGTTTTCTATCATATACTCGGAACCACTTACTTTCTTTACCATACATGTTGTGCTGCAAATCCAAAATCTCTCCCTGACCACTTTTTTTGGAAAGTTTTCAATGTCTTTTGGAGCCCTAGCCAGAAATCTGACATTACAGACCAAACAGGTTACATCACAGACAGGGAAGAAGAATGAAGTATGTGGAAGACAAGAAGACTGACTAGACGACATATAACTACACCACTTCTCCTCAGACTTGGTCCAACCACAAGTGGCATTTTGTCTCAGAGGCACTCTTTAATATCATGTTAAGCTCGTATAACCTATTTCAGTAATGATTTTTCCCTATGTTAGCAAACCTGAAAATGTTTGTATCACTCACTTTGTATAATCACACTTAACTAATTACTACTGTACTACTTTGCAAGCTTGCAGAAGAAACTTTTGTATTCTAAAAAAAGATATATTAATGTTTGAAAGAAACTCAAAACACTTGAAGTCACTTTACCCAACATTCTAAGAACTGCACAGACCTAATATTTTTCCTACTTCAATTTTTTTTTTTTTTTTGCTCAAATCATTAAAAATTGCAAGAATTGTGCCAACAAGTGCAACATTAGGCCCCATATTTGAGTCAGTTTTTTGCACCTCTGTACCTCTGCAACATCTTCAGTAACTTACTGACATCACAATGAACTAATGTTGACTCAAATGCAGCTACATACAAACTTTTTTAATGCAACAAAACTTACGAAACTTGTAAAGCTGAATTAATTTCCTTGAGCAGCTCTTGGGTCTTATTAAAATCTGCCAGCATGCTTTGTTTCTCTCTGATGTGATCTGCTGTCAAGACATCCAGCTCTTTCTCATGTTTCTTGCTTAAATCTTGCTCATGCATCCTGTTTAATTTATTTTTTGTTAAAAAAAGAGTTATTCTAAAATCAGACTGGTTTGTTCATCATGATCTTCTGCCACTCTTTTAATGGCTTTTACACAATACCAGACAACACAGAAAGGAATTACTGATTCATCAAAACCCACTACTTACTGTCCTCCAATCTCCTAGCTTATTTCATTGAAAATGCATCTCCTTTAATGCTTTTTAAAATAAACAAACATAATGAATTAAAAAAGCAACAACCGGACAACAACAACAAAACCACCTGGGTGGACTGTTACTAAAATACACCAAAATGCATTACTGAAATGCAGCTTAACTGTATGGCAATATTTGCTAACCGTACCAGTACTGGGCATAGCCTTTCTGAATGAAAAATGACAATAAATATCATCACTTGATTAAAATGATAAATTAAAAGCCGCAAATGGTGAGGTGTCTTACAGAAAACAATACTTTAGACAATACACATTTCAGTTTGGAGTGGAAAAAATCATACCTGATCTGTTGGTTAGATTCACTACGTATTCTAAGGACTTCTTTCCCTTTAAACTCTAGTTCCTTGGTCAATGCACTTATATTGTCATGAAGATGCAGAATCTCTTTGTCCAGTTCAGCTATATGATGGTCTCGATGTCTCAGTTCATCTTGTAGATCTGATATTCGGCATAAAAATTCTTTCTCCTGTAAGTAGCAGCAGCAGAAAGTATTTTAATAGAGTTGCCTCTCAGAAGCACAACACTTGTTTGTGGAAGATAATAGCTGACCAGAATTTTCCGTACAACACTTAATTATTTTCTATTGCATACAAGTACAAATAATGAAGAAATCAAAATTAGATAGCATAAAAATCCGCTCTGTGAGAGAATTTAAAAAACTGTAATTGCCACTAAAGTTTGTGTTCATTACATTTTCCTTTTGCCCATGCACACAACAAAAACAAATATAACTAAGAATGTCAGGGCTGGCATTTAGCAATTTCTACCTCTACAACGTATGATATGGGTAAAATCATAACTGATTTTCTCTTTACAAAACCATACAGAAGAACAAAATAGCATAAGATGTGTGCCCTCTGCCAATAAAGACAATGATTCAGAAATTTAATATCTAATGTATAGATAAATACAAGAGTCATAAATATTTCACAGCTCAATACACGCCAAATTACCCATCTAGGTAAGATACTTGCCTAGACATAAAATGTGTGTCGGTACGTGTTTGTTTTTTTACTTTCTTAGTGCAAAATATCACTTCTACATTATGTAATATTTACATTGTGTCCAGTAAATCCATGAAAGTCATTATTTTTACACAACAAATTCCTATACAGCTAACATCTGAGAAGCTCATCTAGATCCTATTCCTGTGGTTTTGATAATGATTCTCCTCAGTTTAGAAACAATCTGTAATAACATTAATCTTTTTTAGGGTTTCCCATTTTCATCCATTTCACTTCTTAGTTTCACAATAATTAAGCACCATATTGTTTGTAAAGATGGAAAAGCTGAGGAGATTTCAAAGTAGTTTCATGCATAATTGTCTTTTGTGTCTTCACAATCCAGGCAATACAAGTATATCCTAATGCACAAATTTTACTGTATATCCTTAAAGATAAAACTTTAAAGATAACTCTCTTCCTCCCTACAAAAAGACTATATGAAAGTTACAAGAAAAAGCAGAGGAAA